ATATATATATATATATATATATATATATATATCTGTCATAGATGCGCTCCTGAAAATAAGAATGGAAAACTGTAGTGTGGACTCTCTGTTGTTGCACTAAACTGTATGGAGAATATATGTAGAAGCGTTTGTCGCGTATTCGCTTGAGAGAAAAACAAGTATTGTATTGTTTTACTTCCGAAAGTACGTGCCAGAGATGGTTTACGAAGTTTCGTGCTGATGATATTCGAAAAGGGCGACCGGCTGTTGCCGATCAAGACTTTAATCGGGAATAATTAACGGTACACGACGCGGGAGATTGCAGAGATACTCCATTTATACAACCGTCATCGAGCATTTGCATGAGCTGGGATACGTGAATCGTCTGGGTGATTCTTCTGAAAGAAACTTAATCGATCGCACATTTTCGCGATTCGTTACGCAACGACCCATTTTTAAAACGATGAAGAATAGGGGAACAACAACGGGGGAAACGTTTCAGAAAAGCCGCTGACTTCGAAGATCATATTATGCGCGATACATCGTGTAACACAGAGTGCCGGAAAAGCCTGTGATGACTGTATATCGCGACATAAATATTTTTGCAAAACAGTTCCTCTAACGTTAACAAGGATATATAGATTTCGTGTGCTCGCAGTCACCAAGTGAATACTCTACCGGAAGCTTTCCGGGCAGAAAGAGTTAGAGAGTGCCGCCGGTGGTCCCCCCGTCGAGCATGTGTGCGCAAGCACGCGAGTGCACGAGTGAGAAAGTGGAGCCGTGTTCCACATGATCTTTTAAGGCCAGAAGAAATATGACCGAGCTACTGACGTCAGCTTCCTTTTGCCGCAACCGACGGCCGACCACCCAAGAATCCTGTCACCACCCGACCGCTCCGAAGGACGTGAGAAGAGAAGATCGACGCGACCTGAATAACGATCGCGTTACCGGAGTTCATCCTGGCGAAAAGAGGACAACGGCGTATCGGGTCGAAAGCTCGAACAGCGGGTCCTTCCTACCGCGTTAAGAATTAGATAAACCGCTCCTCCCTTAGTAACGAGAACTTGACCGGTGACGAATTCTTTCAATTATCCCTCGCTCAAACTACATTTATGAGCTACTTGGCTGTTTGTTCGCGAGTTATCGCTGAAAAAAACAATTTCCCGATTACACAGTGTATA